AGCGACGGTGGGCGGCGGACGACGGCGTCTTGGCGAGGGTGCAATGAGGCGGCCCAACGCAAGGGGCAGCACTGCAGTATGCAGCGGCGTGGGCAAGGGAAGGAACAGTAGCCTACGCGCGCCGAAATCCTAACTCGGGTGCGACGAGGCGGCTTAGCGCAAAGGGCAGTACCGCGGCAGCATCAGTGGGCGAGGCAACGTTAGTCCAACGTGGTAGAATCCTGTCGAGGTTGTGCGACAAAAGGGACAACATTGCGGGCTACGTGAATAGGCAAAGTGGTGGTGGGGCGGCGGCCCAACATGGCATGCTAGGATGGGTGAAGCGACCGTGAACCAACGCAAGGGGCAGCACCACGACGCACAAGGAGAGGGCGTTAAGGGCAACGTGCGAGCGTATCCGAGAAGAGGAACCAACAATGTGTGAGCACGAGGAGGTGGTGTCAGCATCGTGCGGCACCGCGGTGGCATCAACAAAAATATTGATTGGCTTAGCTATAAAACCATTACTGTACTTGCTTTAAAGCGCACATGCATGTCAAAAAATAAACTTTAATTTAAATTTATCTATCAGTAATTTGGCTAATAATTTTGAATTATTATAATACAAACTTTATACGGTTAGATCTGTGATCAAATATACTATGCAACTATCATAAGTTCATAAATATAAATAATATATTATAAAATAAGTAAATGTTGAGTGTGTTATGCCCGAAGAATACAGAGATAGTACATCAATATTTTTGCCTACTTGACACCCTAATTAATGCTATGAAAACTACCCACTAAAACTATCTTTGGAAAGTAGGAATAGTTCTCTAACAACTTCAAATAACTATAAAGGTGTCTCCAACAGTATGAGATAACACTAGCTTTAAGCTAATAGATACGAAGGGGAGAGACTGTAGCAAGAAGTCTTAAACATTATGCTATGAGAGGGTGTCTCCAACAATATGAGAAAACACTAGCTCTAGGCTCATAGATACCAATGAGAGACTGTAGCAAGAAGTCTTAAACATCATGCTATGAAAGAGGAATATATTGTGAAACGTTAAATGTACCAGATTGTCTCACGCTAGTGTCTTACCTTTTGCACTATTTAGTAATTACCTAATCAAGTCAGCTATCGGAGACGCTATAATAAAGTCTGATTTAGGGCCCAATGCCGAAATTTCAGGGTACAGCAGCGCCAAAGTATCAAATCTTTCTCTCGCCCCGATGCATAAAAAATGGCCATTCTTAGGCTGTCTCCAACGCGACACTCGTTGCGAAACCCAAATCTAAAATATGTCTCCAACATAATACATATAGCCTTCAACAAAGTAGTTATATGAAAGACACATTTTGGATGCCGGGAGAGGCATAATCTAAATCTGAGTATACTCTCTCCTGAAGAACCATTTGCAAAAAGGATTGTCTTTTGGGTCTTGTTGTTGGAGAAAACTAAAAATAGGTATTGAACCCTTTACGTGTAGCGCTACCAAAAAAACGAATAGGTCTTGTATTTTTTATCGCGGTTGTTGGAGACAGTTTTAGGAGTGGACAATTTACTGCTATTAAATGGCCATCTACTAGCAGATCGTAGCAGAGTTGGAATTGTAGCATCAAAAAAACGTATGGCTGATTTAGGGGGTTGGAAATAGGGTCAATCCAATCTTTCTCCTGTTACACAAATGAAATGTTTCATTTCATCCGGGAAAAGCCACCTCTTTCTCCATAAACAATGTCTTTGTCATTTGATCCAGGAGCCTTCCGTTAGATAGGAACAACTTTGCTAAATACTGAGAACTCAAGGATAGAGTATTAGAATGAAAAGATCATTAATTATATAAGGAAGAACCCAGGGTTCTAGCCTATTTTCATTCCTAAATCACTAATTCGTAGTGATTTTGCTTTTCTTGCGTACTCCTCCTGCAGTTGCTAGCCATATGGTCATCGAGGTTAGATGATACGTACATATTTTTTTTTGAATTCTAATAAATATCTTGATAAAGTATTTATAAATTTTATCGGACCCACGATCCCCACAAACACACTTAGATCTGTCCTGATAGAAAAATGTTCCTTGGAGATTATACGAGCAAGTATAGTAATCAGCTATATATGAGTTGTATAATGAGGTGGAGGAAAGAGGGAAAAAGAAAGAAGAGAAGTGAGTGGTAAGTTTACAGCCAGGTTAGAGCTAAGCTAGTTAAGTACTAAGTTGATACTGTAAGTTTACATACAGCCAACAACCGTCTGTATTATTAGCATTGCTTTAAGACTAGTTTTAGTGAGAGTTTCATTTGCATTTAATAGGATGTCGCATATATTTTTTATGACGTAACAATGTTTTTAAAAAGAGAGAGAAGAAGTGAATTTTTATGAAGACCAAACTTTATTGGCTCGGCTACCAAGTCAAAATGAGTCACACTGTCACAGAATTAAATATCTACGAAAGAAAAAAGAATGAAACTATGTATTGAGACGGATGATTTTAGAGAAAATTCTCTAGTTTCCATTAAAACTTATAATGACCCCTTCATTGCCACTGAAAAATATATCTTCCCTTCGTTGCCATCCATTTATATTTACTTTACCTTTTATTGCCATTCCGTTTGTTTCTGGAGTCGCAGCGTGAATTGGCCGCAGGAACCACCGCCTAGTCACGCGGTCTTAGGTGAAAATCGGTGGCTCGGCGCCAGCGGCACCCTGCGCGGCATGACGCATCGGCGCCTCGGCAGCCATCCAAATCAGCCCTGCGGATCCACGGGGACCGCGCGAATCGGCGCCCGTGACGGGGGCAGGGAGCAGCAGCAGCAGCATCTCCTGAAAGCGCGACGGCGCGGCGGAAAGAGGCGTGTACACGACCACACCGCCATCACCGGAGGAAGCAGGAAGGCAGCACGAGGAAGACAGCTCCCTTCACCGGCTGGCGCGTGGTGTAGGTGGGCATGATGAAGAGGACCGGCTTGCCAGTGCCGAATTCCAGATCGGAGAACGGGAAGCCCAACACGATGCCCACCTTGATGTTGGTTTGGTTTGTGCATGAGCTTCGACGCTAGCAGGCAGGTGCTCACGCTAGCACAAAGGTGTTCGTGTGCTGGAGCCAGTGCCCGATCTCGCGGAGCACGTCCACGTGGCCTAAGCGCCCAGCGCGCCCCTGTGCGCGTAGCGCCGCCCCCGTGTGTAATTCGCGGTCCGACTTGGCGCCGCCGCTGCCATTGAACTGGATGATCGCCAGTGAGATGAGCGCCACGACGTCTGTGTATTATTAGTCTTGCTTTAAGGTCAGTCTATGTGAGAGTTTTATTTGCATTAAATATGTTGTCGTATAAGAATTTTTGATGACGTAACAATGTTTTAAAGAAAAGAGTGAAGAAGTGAATATTTATGGAGATGAAACTTTCCTGGCTCAGCTACCGAGTCAAAAGGAGTCACATAATTAAATATCTATGAAATAAAAGAATGAAACTATGTGAGAGTGATGATTTTAGAGAATTATTTTCGAGAACGTGCTAATGTTTTATTAAGACGAAGTTAAGAGTCGTACACACCCACCATCACATCACGGCGAGATGCCATTAGTGATAGAGTTGGGCGGTGGAACGCACACTAGTTTAACTACCTAAGAAACTGATTGTGCGAACCAAAAGAGAAAATTCGTTAGTTGCCATCAAAACTTATAAAGTTATAATGATCCCTTCGTTACCACCAAAAAAAATATATATCTTCCCTTCGTTTCTATCCATTTTATATTTACTTTCCCTTCATTGTCACTCCCTTCATGATCTAAATATATTTGGTGGCAAAATGAAATGAAATATATAGCCTATATCCCGTGACGAATGGGAATTTGTAGTAGTGGCGGTGATACTTCAAAATAACAGTACGTGTAGTTAAGGAAAAAAATACGGAGATTCCTCCAAAGTGCGCGGTCCTCAACAGGCGCAGCAAAGAAACACAACAGGAAAGGACATTTGCCTGCCCTAGTACCCAACATAAATCCTCCGTACTCCACTACTGCTTCCTGGGTCGAATAATTTACTGACAACCAGGTAACCACAACGACGCTTCACTCAAGTCCTAGAAGTTGGAGCCACAGCCCACAGCCGCGGCCCCAGCCAATCGCCCAGCCACTTCCTCCATCCTTCAATCACCACCGGTCCGCCGCGGCACAACAGAAAACAGAAAAGCGAGGCGCCGCTCATGGAACGGCACGGAAATGACGGAATACACCCACCCACCCACCCACCTGCTCCTGCTCCCCTGCACCTGCACCAGGTGACTATAGGGCCGACTCTGACACATTCGACTCGACCGCTGAACTGCCGCTAGCCGGCACCCGGCACTCCGACTCCGAGGCAGTCGCCGATGCTGTAGTTGCACAGTACTTGCATGTTTGGAACTGGGACTCTGGGAGGGAGTAGAGCAGCAGTACAGTATTATTTATACACATGCCGTACGATCCGCCGGGTGACCTGGTGTTGTGAGCACTGAGCAGCTGCTCTTGCAAGTTGCTACGCCCGCGAGGCCGCGGCAGAGCTTCCTCTTCAGTCTCCTTGTATATCACCGTCTCTCAGGTCCATTTCGTTAGTACTGGAAGAGACAGGGCACAAGGCAGCATTCGCAGAAATTGTGGTGTAGTGTAATGCGCAGACGTTCAGTAGACATGATTCTAGTGGTGAAAGCTCAAGGGATTATCTGAAGACAGGAACTACAATTTTCATCCCAGACTCGAACCATTGCCACTTGCTGCCTCTGGCGACAGGATGATGAAGCTGTAAGCATGCTCAATACTTATCGATGCAAAAGATGATACATGAGAGAAAAGTACTAATACATAACCAGCCAGTCAGCTTTACAAGTTACAAGCAAGATATCTTGGTGCAACTAGGAGAACAAAAAAACTCTGCAAGGCATCTTTTGGCCTGCTGCAGTGGCCATCGGTGGTGTTCCCTTCAAATTTTACAGCTCGTGCCAAAAGCAGAGATTCCAGATGATAATCCATGCCCTAAGAATCAGTCTGAGGGCGCATTCTCCTTGATTGCTGTCGATAATTTTGTAGCCGCCTCCTCATTTTTCAACCGGAACAGGTATGTTCGAGCTACAACTGTGCCACCAGCTGATTCACTTGACTGAGAATCCTAAAAATGAAATGCAGGATTTATGGTCTTCCTTTTTTCTGTTAATTGATTGAGTTGGGGGTGGTGGGATGGTCGGTGCTCCAATGGACTATAGTTACTTACTGAAGTATGAAATATTGAAGCAACTGTATTCTTCTGAAGATTCATTTTTATCCCCTTGTAGATCAGAGCATTCAGGAGGATTTTACCAACCTGCTACCAGTTTAAAAAACATTAGTATTTTGTCCGCACCAGAAACAGTATTACAGCTGTGTAACTCTGGGTAAAGAACAATGCGTAAATATATATACCTAATTGAATATTTGACACCTAAATTAGCTGGTACCCTTCTTAAATTCCAAATAAATGAAAAACATAAGTTGAACTCTGTGAGAGCCAAGACAATTCAACTTGGCTTCTTTTGCAGGAACAGTAAAGTTGGGGAACACACCATTTGTGGATTTAGAATATTGGTAATATTCGATCAGATAGAAAACATTTAGGTAAAATTATCGGCATGCAGTCAAACTTTAGACACTTGACCACTAACATAGGCAAAATCATAAAAAAAATACATGGAAATAACATTAGTAGATTTTTAATGACAAACACTTTCAGATGACTATATTCTCATTAAGTTTTAGCAACAAATGCTTAGACAAGGTAGAAATTGAAGATATGTTTTGAAGGCTGTGTCAATTTCCAAAGCGTCAAATGAAAAAACAATAAAGGTAGTAGTTTCAAGTTTGGCATGCAATATAAGGATAAATATTAACACTAGTACACAGGACTGCAGATAAATGAAGTTTAATTACTATAACCAAACAGGAGAGAACACATACATCGTTTCTTATAACAATGGTAGGAGAAGATTCTTTGGAAGCTTTCTCTGTGCCTTCTTTACTTCTGATAGAGAGCTGACCAACACCAAAGTCTTTCCAACCCTTAGTGGCATCATCATGCTGCATTAATGGGAAACACAGTTATAGTCAAGTAAAATCTGAAATGACATACTGAGCAAAAGTTGCACAGTATTAGAGTATCAGAGTCAAAAACATGATATTACAGTTCTAGGAAGAAAAGCAATATGTTAAATAGATCAGATGGATACCTTCACATACACCTTGCATTTGGTTTCATGAACAACAACTACCCCTTTCTCTTCTGCCTTCTTTACAGAAGGGCTGCTTGGCTTCTCAGGTTCAGCATCTGATAATGATCATCACGAACAACAAATTAAGAGGACAGAGAATTGGAAATTAAAGGGTGTGGGACTTACATTACTTAAAACAGAAGCCAGAGGCATGGAAGATTGAGACTGAGATGTACAGTATTAGATACCTTCATCTGCGTCAGCTGAAACTTCAGCAGTATTTTGGTTTCCTGACAAAGCAACAACAAGAAAGTTATGGTCTGCACCGAAAATAAGGATATCATAACAGTTTGTCATATCAGCATGATCAGGTGCTGCCAATAGAACAGCTTAATTACTTTTATCATCTGCTCTTCAAACGATGGTATGCGATATAGGTTGTGCCAGACAAAACCAATTTGTGAATTAATCAAATTGCAACTGCCTTTCTAGATTACAAGTGATGTTTGCAACACTTGCTTCACTATGTAAAACTTGTAGTAACATTGACATTTAGACCAAATCCAGGCAAACTCAGCATTGTGCTGCTGAGCCCCAACATATAGTGATAACAAAGCGAGATGAATGACATGCTAACTGAGTAGGGGAGGTAAGTGTAAGGAGAAGTTATGGCGGTGTTTCTAAAACAGTAAAACTGGGACCTTTCATTGATATATAAAAAATCCTAAAGTTACCTTTCATTGATATATAAAAAATCCTAAAGTTAAAAGGTACATTTTGTAAGGAGTCCTTTGGTTTGGAAAAAAATATTGTTTCCAAGACTAATGCACAGGCCAAATTATAAATAGAATGCTGAAAGTGGAAAAGGTAAAATAAGAACACCACAATTTTTGGCTGGATGATTTTGCAAACCTGAAACTTACTGCTAAATTGGCAATAAACGAGTATGCCTTAGATCATTCTTCAAATACTCCGAACAGACAAGCCTTACTATATATATATACACACACAACATCAATATCTAAGTCCTCATAGGTGTGAAGTAAACAACACAAGAAAAAGATCAGAAAAGATACCTGAGAGGACTGATTGTTGATTCATTGAAAACAGAGGTGGACTCTGTGGGCTAAAACTTTGGGGAACTGAAGAAAAAATAGATGGTGCATTGGATGTTGGAAAACCATTATTTGCACCAAACTGGAAAGAGTTACTGTTGTCACCAGTTGTAGTCTTCTTGTCACCAAATATGCCATTGTTTGCACCAAACTGGAAGGGTTTGCTTTCACTAGGCGTATCCTTCTTGTCACCAAATATGCCATTATTTGCACCAAACTGGAAAGGTTTACTGCTGTCAACAGCTGTATCCTTCTTATCACCAAATATGACATTATTTCCACCAAATTGGAAAGGTTGTTTACTGCTATCACCGGATGTGTTCTTCTTGTCAGCAAACATACCTGGATGTCATTGACAAAATCAATATGAATATATAGTAGATGCGTCTGCAAGACCTCTGCAGTAAATGTAAACAAAGTATGATATAAAAACCACTGAATAGTCGTACCACTGAAATCCGGTGTTTTTTGCTGAGAAGGTGATGAAAAAAGGTTTGGTAAGCTTGAGTTCTGAAAAGATGAAGAACTAGAAGCTATAATTGGAGCCTTTTGTTTGCTATCTGAACTAGGCTGTACCAAGAGCTTGCTATCGTCTGCTGCTGGCAGATTGGACTTCTCATCCTTGAGTGAGCTTGGGGATGAAACAACTGTTGAACCTGCTTGATTTTGCCTAAGCCAGTTGACAACATCCTTGAATTTTTCCTAATGAGCAACAATTGTATATGCATATACAATGAGAAATCTGATTAACAAACCACCTAAGAAATGATCAAACAGAAAATAAAGTAAGGAAATACAAGATGACTGCATGCACTAATCAAATCCACACCTTAAATCCTCAACATAAACACACTTTAAAAAGATAGTGTTCCAGATGATTATGTAATCAGAACTAGGATAAAGTTGATGTGATAAACCTCATAAGAATCAGCAGCAATAATAAGACACAATTATAAAGATTTCCAAAAGATATTTACTGCAGAATTATAGTAATGCCATGGGCAGATCCACGGTATAAATGAATCAGTGGTTTCTTGCGAAAGCAATGGTCTGAGCAATTATCTTTGTAACAATACTGTTATACAATTGATGATCCTATAGCTTTAGCAAGAAAATTGATTGGCGACACCAATTACTTAATTTACTAGATCCACCCTTATTGAATGCAATATATATTAAAAAAAACAAGACCATTCACAGCCAGCGAAACTTTACCATGATTTCAGATGCGTGTGATATGTAATCCTTAAGGCCGTCCTCCCAAAGTTCAGTGGGATGATTTTGCAGCTGCAATTGAACCCAGCTGCTCAAAATAAAATGACTTATGAGTATACAGTATGCATTTGAAAAGAAATATAAGTGTGACTCTAGGGGATATGAAGCATGAAATGGCATTAATAGGAACAACCAATATTGTTTTCAAGGGTCCTTCAAAAATGCACTAATAACTAATGAACACTCCATGCTTCAAATAATGACCATGAAAGCTGACAATCGGTGAAGAAAAGAGGGGTACTAATGTACTATAGATCAACAATACCAATTAGTTTAGGTCAACAAGCTAAAATCTTTCCAAAAAAAGCGTAAGAGAACTGTGAGCATAACAAGTGAGCTAGTAAGATGTGCCTCCAACAGAGTATATGTTTCAACACACAGGAGTACAAGCCAGCAGGTGAAGAAACAGACCTCGCAAACTGGGTATTGAGTGCCCTCACATGTTTACTGGCAGCCTCAGCCCGTCGAGGATCTAAGGTAGCGGGTCCTGCCATCACATGCTGATGGGAAGACTCCGCCCTGTGAACATCAAAAGAGGGTCCGTCCATTACTCTCTTACTTGGTAACTGCAGCATTGTAATAACAAAAATGAATAATGGAGGGGTAGATTCTACTGGAAGATAGAGGAATAGAAAAATTAACCTTTAGAGCAAGTATAATAATAGACTGTAAGCTGGCTAAATGCTGAGGTGGAGGAGAGAGGAGAGGAGAGAGAGGAGAAACGGGCTGTAAGCTTACAGCCGGTTTAGGCACAAGAACCAAGAAACTCTGTGAGAGAGATAAGTGGTCCATGTATTAAGAGTGAAAAGCTAACTACTATATGAGTGGAGAAGGCTATAAAGAACCTTGCAGCCAGCAAGCCGGCTGTATTATTAGCCTTGCTCTTATGCATGTTTGAGAATCACAGGGAATAGAAAAATATTATGAATGGACACTAGCAGGCGAACTTCCAGTGACTAGATCAGTCATCAGAATAGCCATGTAGATAATGTGCCAGCATTGATATGCAATGGTCAGGCTTCAATTAAAAGATTTAGGGCTGTGGTCATCCTCTTTGTCAGAATAATCAATAGGGTTGAGTTATCAAATATTCAAGGATACTCACGATCAAGAACTACTCCTTCCATTCCAAATTATAAGTCGTTTTTCTAGATACAAAACAACTTATAATTTGGAACAGAGGGAGTAGTTTAGAGTAAGGGACGATTAAGAACTACTCCCTCCATTCCAGTTGAAACTAATGCTTGGCTCTAGTTCTGAATTCCATCACTCAAAATACCGTACATACTACAGGAAAAATCCAACGACGAGCATTAAAACGCCATGAAGCTTCTAGGTGCACAGTACACCACGAATTTGTACACATGATTTTTTTTATCAGCTCCACCGCGATGACCTCGATGTTCCCCAAATCAAACTCGAAGACACTACGCCACTACCCAAGCTTGCCTTCACCAATCAACCAGATTGAATCAGCATCCGGAGCCGAAAGCTAATAACTAGAATAAGCTTTTCCACACCCGCAAGAATGCAAGATCCACATCTTCTCACTACACTAGTTGCCCCCAAACAAACAGTACACATCGCCGTGGAGAAACGCGATTCAGACGGGGGAGGAATGGACGAGAGCGTACATCGGGTGCGGCGGGGTCGGAGGTCGCGGCGCGCTTGGCTCCCCGCGTCGTCATGCCGCCTCACCTCGCACTCCCCAAACCCTAGCCGCTCGAGCCGGGGGAAGCAAAGCTGTAGATTGCGGAGAAAAGCGGGGGCGAGTAGGAATAGTAGGCGAGTGGGACTGCGCAGAAGCGGAGAAGGGCAGGACCGTAGGAGACTAGGAGTGCTGCTGCTGCGTCCTGCGTGCCAGGCAGTGGAATCCAAACACCGGGTTTGCGAAGGAGACGGCGGTGAGACCGTGAGAGGCGGAGGGGGGCTGCTGGCTGGGTGGGGAAGCTGGCGGCGCGGCGCAAGCGCAACAAACAAAGCGAATCGCGTGCTGGTTGTGCGGCCCCCACGCGTCAGCTAAACAAAGCCGCAAACCGAACGTGTGGCAAACTGGCAACTTGCAACCTCGGGTGGGGTCCGAATGGGGAAATTTCCGAAAGCTATTTTTGCAAGCCAGCCAAATTGTTTGATCAGGGCGTGTTTTCGCTCCTTTTTTTCTTTGATGAAAAGACCGCTTTCTTTTTTTCAGTTCACCCTCTCCCGGATGCAGGACAGGCAAAGTGTTTGGGAAGGAGTCATGATTTTAACCTACATAGTACACAACAACTCTGAACTGTGATTGATCCTTCTGGTTACACTTGTGCTCATAAAAGCAGAGCGTTATCACAGATCGGGTACGCAATTGTGCTCATGTTTGGAATTCTCTGAAGTACTAATAGCTAATTCCCTCTGACTGGATGTCTCAAGACCCGGGACGTGAATATATGTAAAAGTTTCCAGTAAACATTTTTGTCAATGTGCAGTACCACAAAATCCTCAACGATCAGCACAATTCCTCAACTAATTCTTCCATCAAGTAGCAGAATATACCACCCTCCACGTCAGAGCTCAACAGCTCACGTTCATCTTCTCTAAAACATCTCCACCGTCCAAGCCGCTCGATCTCCTCCACCTCCACCTCCGCCTTGTGATCCGACCTCAGCGCGGCGCAATAATGTCGCCCATCCAGCCACGCCTTGGCAGTCTCCAGCAATGACATCTCGAGGTCCGAACCGTCCGATCCTCCGGCATGGCACGAGGACAGACCGTCACGAAAGAAATCTTCTAGAAGCTTCTTGAAGCAGTGGGCGGGACACGGCGAGCTCGCTTCCGGGAGTCCTGGCAGGTGCCGCTGTACAGGCCCACATCCAGCGTCTTCATCGTCTTCCGCGGAATCCAGTTCCCCGACGTGGCAGCTCGTGTCATCCGCGGTCGTGGTGGCGTCGTCCACGTCGGATGTGTCCAGCTCCTCCAGCTGCTGGCTAGCTCCTGTGGAACAAAAATTTAGACGTTAGCTAGGTAGGGTGACTAGTGATTAGTGAATCTGCGAATCGATTGTATGACTTGACAAAAAAAAATGAGGTTCATTGAGTACTAATGCTTTCTCCAAACTAAAGTGATTAGCGACAGCTGAAAAGGGCACCAGCAGTTGGCATCATGAGTCGCAACAAAACAAAACACATGATGATATTGGCTTGTGGGCCTTGTGGCCCATGGCCTCTGGGCTCTGTCGGCTTAATTGCTAGCTTCTTGGGTTGCCCAAAGAATAATAGCTGCTCGGCAACCAAACAAATCTTTAGGCACCGGCCAGAGTATGATGACATGATCAACTCTCATATGCCTCGTCATGAATTCATGATGAACGCGCACAAGATTTCCCAACAACCGAAACGGAGCCTAAAACACGGGCTAAATTCATGCGCATTTCGGTCCACGACGCACGGGGAGCTAATGTATGATTGAACTACTTCTCCAAAGTAGGCAATCATATCAAAAAAAAAAACTAGGAGAACGACTCAAACTGACAGGTTGGATACGTTCTTAACTGCACCGTTTTTAGTGTCTAATTAATAAGAAGCTTGTTGTTCTACTTCTCTGAAAAATATAGTATATCATCTCTCTTTTTTTCGAGTCAAAGGCTACTTGTAAAGTACATGTATATATGTGGAGGAGCTAAAGTACATGGCGTCAGGTCAGGTGGACGGTATACCTTGCAACCACTGGCCCTAAGCTGATGATGACGGTATTTAATTGCCAAAGCGATTATTCTGTCGTATCCCTTTCCCTTTGCACTTTACAATTTGGACCGGAATATATCATGATCCATGCATTGTAGTATATTATTATTACTTCCGACCGTATTTAGCCTGTTCGGTTGGCTGGTTCGTGAAGAAGTACTGCTGACTGATTTGTGTGAGAGAAAAATACTGTTCTGGGTGAAAATTTACGATCGTTTACGACAAGCCACAGCCAAACGAACACGCTAATTGCCTATGGGAATCAGATTTGTTTGTTTGTTTAACCTGACAGTGCTAGTACATGTACAAACTCGCACGCAACCATTTTTATTATTCGAGCTCCAATTATACGTTCCGCTTGGCTATCAACGTCGCGCCTTCTTGGTTCCGTTTGCACACTACCTGCACGCACCATTCTTTTTTTTTTCATGGAGACCTGCTCGCTGCACTGTTCTCCAACGGTTCGCCCATGCGTGATCTCTCCTTGGGCAGATAAAGAAGCTAGGGTCGGTCGACAGCAACAGGCTACCAACATGGTCGATCTAAACAGTGACACGCCAACGGGTCGTGCGCATCCAAGTGCACGCGTGCGTGCTCGCAGTTTCGCGGCCTAGATTGATCGATTGTCTGGAGGGAAAAAGTTGTGCGCCTTTTTTGCCGCTCGGGCTCGTCAGATACAGCTAACAGTAACAGTAACAGCTTGTGCCGTTGTGCCCAATGGTTGGGAGTGAGAGATTCATATCATCATATAAAAAAGAAAAAGAAACGTATGCACACGAAACAGAGCAGTTCAACTTGCATGGCGCTATCGACGGAGTAACCCAGTGAACGACGGAGCTCGCTTCACAATGGAGCCAAATGGAAAGCAGGAACTTACTTCGGATGTTGGCCAGGCTTCGCTCAAACGTCGGTGACGTGCCCTCGCCGTCGCTGTGGCCATCGCAGCCGCCGCCGTCGTCGTCTCCGTCCTCCTGGCTTTGGAAATCCATCACCGAAACTGGGCTCAGCCGCTGCTCCTGCTCCTGCTCATCGTCCAGGTGGCACGTTGCCTCGCACTCGCATCCCTCAACCTTCATTTTGTCAGTCACAGAAAAAGTGTAACAGTTGAGATCAGCCAGACATGAAAATTGCTAGCTAAGATCAAGAGCAGAAGTGCTGGTGAGAAAGATAAACGAATTGATCAAAAGTTCAGAACTGTTTCTTTCAGGGAAAAGAAGAAAAAAAAACATTAGAATGGTGAGTTCCTACCGCCACTGTTTCATGGCTCCGACGGCCGCCGCTGAGAGCTGCGGGATCGCCACCGGCCTGGCGACTCTCCAGACCCATGCGCCGCGGAGACGTTGCCGCCGGCGACGACGCTCCATCCCTCCTTCCAGAGCTCGCGGCAGTGGCAGAGCAGCTGGCCACTGGCCTGTCCATCTCCTCCACCTCCCCCCTCCGCTTCTTCCAGAACCCCACCACTCGCAGCCTCGTCGAGAGGCTCCTGCGAAGCGCGGCCGCCTCCCCCTGTCGTGCCGATGCCGACGGCGGGCGGGACAGCGCGGCCCTCACCGCAAGCGAGACCCTGGCGATGACGTCGCCGCTTCTCCTCCGCCTGCAGCCGGCGCTCCGGGTCCGGGGCTCGGTGGCGAGGTGCCGCGGGTAGCAGCCGAAGCCGTCGCGGGAGAGCTCCGCGCTGTACTCCAGCTCCAACCACTCCTTTAGCATCAGCGGATGCCTCGGCCTCCCCTCCAGCTCCACGTTGTCCATGGAGTGCAGCGGTTTCTTGCACGGCCGCACAGCCGAACTGAACCGGGGTTGCTCGGAAGGAATAATTTGCTTGCGCGCCGGAAAGACAAAGGAGGACCTGTGTCCTTGCGAGGTTGGGAGAGCAGAGACGAAGACGGAAGCGCTAGCTAGTACTCGGGCACTCGGCTACGCCAGGCTATCTCCACGGACAACACCCAGATACGAGACTCATTCTTGCTGGAACAGTGCCACAGACAACAGGTTTAATGTTGGATTTATTATGGGCTAGGCCCATTTATATATCTAATAAATCTATAACTCTATGGCTTGTAATTGTGGGTATTATTATTTGTACCGGATTGGAAGTTAAAAGAACGTTGGCTCAACTTAAATGATTGAAATTGATCCGTCTAATTTGAGAAGTTGAGAAACGGACAAAGGCGTGCCACGCGCGCGCGCCGCCGCCGCCGGCCGGGCTCGGGCTCGGGCTCGGGCCGGGGCGTGGCGTGTTAACTTTTTAGCATCCACTAACCACGGGAGTTTTCAACTCTAAGCCGGCCTGACTCCTGATCTCCCGGAGTCTCTCGGTCTTCTCGGCGCATGCCTCCGTAGCCTCTCCGCTTTCCCTGCGAGTCTTCCAACTCCAGTTAAATAGAGAACACACGTATTTCAGAAACTCGATTCAGTTGCTCGATGGCTTTCCTCATCTCCTAACTCTGCGCGCACGGAGGAGCGAGAGGGCAGGTGCCTCCGAAGCCCTTGTCGTTCGGGACCTTGCACGGGGGATCGACAATTAGGTTTTTGGGGAGCGTCTACGCGACTGCCCGAAGAGCCGCCGTCACCATACATCGTCTTCTTCCCGATCGCCGATGTCGCCATCTTCTTCCTGGCGGAGGGAACACCTTCTTCTCCTACGGCATGTCGAAGGAAGTTGCTGGAACTTCGGAATTGCGGATGGGAGGGTATGATCTTTTCATCTTCTCACTGTTTTACGTTCTACATGTTTCAGCAGTCCATCAGTTTATTTTATATGTTCAGACATGTCGTTTCATAAGATATCTTATGTCTGTTCCTGCTAGATATATGCTCCACGTATGTGTTTCCTGTTTACAGTCCTGTTGCTTCGTATGTAGCTTTATGCTTGTTGCAGATATGAAATATATATCATTCCATGTGTTTCTCTTTGTTATGATTCATGATCTTTATATGTTTCACATGATATATGATCTAGCATGTAGTTTTACCTTAGATATAATCGATATCATGAATTCAATGATTAATAATTCTTTATATGTCATCATCATGCTGTTAATTTATGGAATTAAAATGACATGGAAATTGCCTATTATCCTAACAATCCAAAAACCTAATTATAGGCATTTTTCTGTCAGAGGTTTTGCTGCTGTGTTAAAGCCTGATCCTTTTGATGGTAAAAACTTTTTGATTTGGAGAGCTAAGATGGAATTGTGGCTCACAGAGAGTTGTAAAATCCTTTGGTGATGACTATTTAGTGTACCTTGTGGAAGACATACCAACCACCATTAGAGAGGCATATTCTTCTCCTGATGCTGACTTGTGGAAGGAAACAGTAAGGAGTGAGATGGATTCTATTATGTTTAATGGAACTTGGGAGGTCGTTGACCGTCCTTATGGTTGTTAACCTATAGGTTACAAATGGATTTTCAAGAAAAAACTTAGGCCTGATGGTACAATTGAGATGTACAAGGCAAGACTTGTGGCCAAAGGATATACCCAAAAAGAGGGTGAAGATTTCTTTGACACCTATTCACCAGTTGCTCGATTGACTACAATTCGCACCTTAATTGCCGTGGCTGCCTCTTATGGTCTTATCATACATCAGATGGATGTTAAGACAGCTTTCCTGAATGGAGAGTTAGAAGAGGAGATCTATATGGATCAGCCAGAAGGTTTCATTGCGGATGGTCAAGAGAACAAGGTGTGTCAGGTTGTTAAAATCATTATATGGTCTAAAACAAGCACCTAAGCAATGGCATGAAAGGTTTGATAATACTTTAACATCTTCCGGTTTCTCTGTGAATGAAGCTGACACGTGTGTGTATTATCGATATGGTGGGGGTGAAGCTGTTATGCTGTGCCTATATGTTGATGACATCCTGATCTTTGGATCAAATCTCAATGAGATTGAGGAAGCAAAGAAACTTCTGTCGAGCAATTTTGAAATGAAAGATTTGGGAGAAGCTAATGTTATTTTAAACATCAAGCTTATTAGAGAAGGTGATGGTAGGGTAACTCTGTTACAATCCCACTATGTGGAAAAGGTATTAAGTCGCTTTAGTTTTAGTGACTGTGATCCTGCTCCCACGCCTTATGATCCTAGCGTGCTATTGAGGAAAAATCGAAGAATAGCAAGGGATCAACTGATATACTCCTAGATCATTGGCTCACTCATGTACCTGGCGAGTGCAACAAGGCCTAACATCTCATATGCTGTGAGCAAGCTGAGCCGGTTTATGTCAAACCCGGGAGATGATCACTGGCATGCTCTTGAGAGAGTGTTGCGTTATCTGAAAGGTACTATGACTTATGGTATTCATTATACTGGACATCCAAAAGTGCTGGAAGGCTATTGTGATGCCAACTGGATTTCTGATGCTGATGAGCTTTATGCCACAAGCGGATATGTGTTTCTGCTTGGAGGTGGAGCTGTTTCCTGGAAGTCTTGCAAGCAGACTATCTTAACGAAGTCTACAATGGAAGCAGAACTCACTGCATTGGACACTGCTGGAGCTGAAGCCGAGTGGCTTCGTGATTTCCTGTTGGATTTACCGGTAGTTGAAAAACCGATACCGGCTATCTCAATGAACTGTGACAACCAGACTGTGATCACAAAGGTCAACAGTTCCAGGAATAACATGAAGTCCACAAGGCATGTTAAAAGAAGATTAAAGACTGTCAGAAAGTTAAAAACCTCCGGAGTTATAACGTTGGACTATGTCCACACGTCGAATAATCTGGCAGATCAATTCACTAAGGGACTGTCACGAAATGTGATAGAAAGTGCATCGAGAGAGATGGGTATGAGACCCACGTGAAAATCTACTATAGTGGTAACCTGCTCTATGTGATCGGAGATCCCGTGAAGTAGAGTGGTGAAACAAGCTATGAGAAGATTGAGAGGAAAGTTCCCTACGAATCTATCTCTGATGCATATCTTTCCTTCTGTAAGGCAGGATGGTATTTACCTTAATGTATTCTGAGAGTCTTATAAAGATGAGATGTTGTCCTACAGAACATCTTTTGAGAAGTACACCTATATGAGTCAGACTGCTGGTCACAGTCTATGGGACCCGGGTTATCCCTAAACACTCATGAAAGGCATAGAAGTGTGACTTATATGCTTCAAACAGCGGGGATGCTTATTGCAACCTAGTACCAGCAAAGGACTTGAGTGAATCTCACCTCACACAAAACTATCAATTCAAGGCATAGTTCATTGTTCAATTGTGACTGAGTGAAACTCTTGTTCTAGGTGGATGTTCAACTTAACAGTCTCCATCGAAACACTGGTATATCAAAGAATTGTGATTCTGCAACTATACAGTTACAAACCCTAGAGTTTGGTGGGGATTGTTGGATTTATTATGGGCTAGACCCATTTATATATCTAATAAATCTATAACTCTATGGCTTGTAATTGTGGGTATTATTATTTGTACCGGGTTGGAAGTTAAAAGGATGTTGACTCAACTTAAATGATTGGAATTGATCCGTCTAATTTGAGAAGTTGAGAAATGGACAAAGGCGTGCCACACGCACGCGCGCGCCGCCGCCGCCGCCGGCCGGGCCGGGCTCGAGGCTCAGGCCGGGGTGTGGCGTGGCAGGCAGGCAGGCAGGCAGGCGGGCGAGCGTGGCGTGGCGTGTTAACTTTTTAGCATCCACTAACCATGGGAGTTTTCAACTCTAAGCCGGCCTGACTCCTGATCTCCCGGAGTCTCTCGGTCTTCCCGGCGCATGCCTCCGTAGCCTCTCTGCTTTCCCTGCGAGTCTTCCAACTCCAGTTAAATAGAGAACACACGTATTTCAGAAACTCGATTCAGTTTCTTGATGGCTTTCCTCATCTCGTAACTCTGCGCACACGGAGGAGCGAGAGGGTAGGTGCCTCCGAAGCCCTTATCGTTTGGGACCTTGCACGGGGGATCGGCAATTAGGTTTTTGGGGTGCGTCTACGCGATTGCCCGAAGAGCCACCGTCACCATACATCGTCTTCTTCTCGATCGCCGACGTCGCCATCTTTTTCCTGGCAGAGGGAACACCTTCTTCTCCTACGGCATGTCGAAGGAAGTTGCTGGAACTTCGGAATTGCGGATGGGAGGGTATGATCTTTTCATCTTCTCACTGTTTTACGTTCTACATGTTTCAGCAGTCCATCAGTTTATTTTATATGTTCAGACATGTCGTTTCATAAGATATCTTATGTCTGTTCCTGCTAGATATATGCTCCACGTATGTGTTTCCTGTTTACAGTCATGTTGCTTCGTATGTAGCTTTATGCTTGTTGCAGATATGAAATATATATCATTCCATGTGTTTCTCTTTGTTATGATTCATGATCTTCATATGTTTCACATGATATATGATCTAGCATGTAGTTTTACCTTGGATATAATTGATATCATGAATTCAATGATTAATAATTCTTTATATGTCATCATCATGCTGTTAATTTATGGAATTAAAATGACATGGAAATTGCCTATTATCCTAACAATCCAAAAACCTAATTATAGGCATTTTTCTCTCAGAGGTTTTGCTGCTGTATTAAAGCCTGATCCTTTTGATGTTAAAAACTTTTTGATTTGGAGAGCTAAGATGGAATTGTGGCTCACTGCAATGTCATGTTATCATGTCTCTGAGGGCAAACCTGCTAACTTGCCTCCTGAGGATGAGGCTAAGTTTAAGGCTGATGAAAACCTCTTTCGAGGTGTAGTGATTAGCGCACTTGATCCAAAATTCCAGAAAAGCTATATCATCGATTCTAC